CTAGAGTTCACATTTCCTTCAAAAAAATATTGCCCGATCAAATAAACGGTCACATCAAACAATAGTGCTCCAACGATTCTGATGATCAATTGCACGGTACCAATGTGGATTCTCCATAAACTAATAATAAGAATTATGTCAATTGAACTGCACGGTCTTATGGAAAGTTGCTCTATCAGAAAATAAGATATATCTTTAAAAATGTGGATCATGATGCAACTGTACGTAAGCCTAATTACAGAATGTTAGTCTTCGTTATAAGTCTGAAGATGTTAATTTTTGAGTTAAGGTTACGTGATAAAGGTGAAATCTGTGAAATCTAAGAATTTTTTAAGGCGTAGATCTCGAGATGCCAATTTGTTGTTTAATTTGTCTTAATGAAATATCAGAATTTACATTTATTATCGCTAAAACAACAAGAACTCGTAGATCATTCTGATTATGATAGCACGTCTACGTTGTCTCGTTATAGATGATTGGTTTTTCACACAGCGTTCAATTCTGGGAATAACAACGTCATCAAGTTATAATGATGTCATCATGATACTTCCTATCAGGATAACGCCTCATGTACAGTGAAGCTAATGTCTAATAATTTCTATGACACTCCCGAAAAATAACTAAAATCTACAATCTCATTTCCTGAATAATCTGACATATTTACTGAACATCTGATATCTCTAGATACTCTTCGAAAAACTCTTGAGGAAAATTAGAAAAATTAAGGTCTATGATAGTAGAAATTATAGACAATTATTCGAAACTGTTGAAAGAAAATCGACAATTTAATACAATTGAACACAAACTTTTACGATTTCGCACAATGATTTACAATTCTTTACAATTTCTTCCGATTTTTTACAACCTTTCACAAAAAAAATTTTCCAGCAGTTGTGTCTTCTATGAGAATTTTTTTAGAAAATAAACTAGGTACCTACACACCTACACAGAAAACAATTCAAATAAGTTTTCTTCGATATCTCCGGTTAGTGAAGAGCAAACTGATCATTTAAATTGACTACTATAAGATTTATTCCTATTATTAAAAAGAATTCTGATGTACCGTAATAGTAGAATTTTTTATTTCAAAAGAATAATAAATATCCACAAAATTGATAATAAGCATGTTTCAGTGTAAACTTGAATACTGAAATGATGATCGTGAGTATACACCTTTACTTTCCAACAATTTTGTTAACTATTTTAACTATTTTGAATTCCAATCACAGCGGGATCTTTTTGTATGAAGACGATTCTTTTGTGAAAACAGACAGTGAGCTTGTCTGATACTTTCAAAATAGTTATTTATTATTTTCAAATACGGATTATTAAAAAAAAACCAGAAAACACATAATAAATATGCCCGGAATCTCAAATCTTTCCTGATTGGCTGGGCTCTCGAGTCTTGCCTTTACCGACTGGATCATATTGGGATCCGAAAATATCCCTAGTTACGAGAGGTGGTCAATTAGTCTTTATAAAATCCAAGAGATGCCGCTCGTCACGCTTAAATTATGATGTTTTTGGCAAGCAACACTACTAACTAGATATCGTACAAAGTTTCAGTTCGATTCATTAAGTCTTTTTTTGTGAGCGTTGGTTGAACAAAAAGTTATTGGTTTTTTTGAAATATAAAAAAAAAAGAGTTTCGAGCGGTGCTAAAACATTTTCATCTGAAAAGCCTTACACCAAAAGAAATCACAGTTGAGTTGAACGCCGTTCATGGTAAGTCTGCCCCTGTGTTTCAGACTGTTTATAACTGGGTAAATGAATTTAAACGCGGCCGTACAACAACAAAAGATGAACCTCGTTCAGGACGGCGCGTAGAAATGAGTACGCACGAAATGGTCAACAAAATCCATGATATGGTGTTGAGTGATAGAAGATTAAAATTGCGAGAATTAGTTGAGGCCACAGGGATATCAAAGGGTACAATCATTTCAATTTTGCATGAACAATTGAAGATGAAAAAAATATCAGCAAGATGGGTTCCGCGTTTGCTCACTGTTGAAAACAAACGAACCCGCGTGGTCACTTCTGAGGCTCTTTTGGCACGCATACGTCGTAATCCAAAAGGCTTTTCGCATCGACACATAACTGTAGACGAAACATGGGTACACCACTACACTCCTGAAACCAAAGAACAGTCCAAACAATCGATTACCGCAGGAGAACCAGCCCCAAAGAAGGCAAAGACAGTAAAGTCAGATGGCAAGATTATGGCCACGGCTTTCTGAGATGCGTATGGAATCATCTACATCGACTACTTGGAAAAGGGCCAGACCATCACTAGACAATATTATGCGTCATTATTAGGTTAGCAGAAAGAAAAAATCAGAGAAAAACGTCCACACTTAAACAAAAAAAATGCTTCTTCAAGACAATGCTCGAGTTCACACGTGTGCAGTTTCGATGGCAAAAATTAACGATTTAAAGTTTGAATGAATTGACCATCCACTATAGTCGCCTGATTTGGCTCCCAGTGACTTTTTCTTATTTCCTAACCTCAAAAAATGGCTTGCCGAACAACGATTCACGTCGAATCAAGCAGTCATCGCCGAAACAAATGCCTATTTTGAGGGTTTTCAGAAATCATATTTTTTTGATAGCTTAAAAAAACTGGAAGGCCGCTTAATAAAATGTATCGACCTTCAAGGAAATAATGTTGAAAAATAAAAGAAATTACATACGCAAAACTTTTTTTTCCTTCTTTTTGTAAAGACTTATTGACCCCCCTCCCCCCCTTTATACGTTCTCACTGTAACCCCTGGACATAGGATATTCTATCAATAACGAAATACAGGTATTGGTATAAGCATTAATGAACGAAAATAATTATTTACACATTGAAATTTTTTTCTTCTCATCCGTTGAACAAACTACGTAATAATTTTTAGCGATGAAGTATATGAATTGATATGGAGAAGTGTAATAGTTGAGGGAAGAAATTTTCCTGTTTTAAGATAAAAGTCAACTCAACTACGACGAAGAATGAACTGATACGAATGCTGAGTAAAGAAAAGAAGTTAACTACCAATTAGACAATTTGACCTTTCTATCTCGAGCTATTATAATACTTTGACCCTCATTACTGAATTTGGAATAAAAAATAGAGAATCCTCTTGAAACAACAAAGTTTAACTTCAAAAGACCTTGAAAATAACTTTTGGGGTCAAATCCAAGATTATTATTGTCTTGCCTTCTAGAAAATTCATGAAATATTTTTTGACAGTTCTATGAAATAATGCATTTCCAACTTGTTTTTTACAATAATATTTTGCGCAGCGTAAATATATAATAAATCCATTTCACGTTAATAAAAAACATTTTTAATAAGTCCATTTAAACTTGAAAATCTTTCTTTCTCTCGTAATCTTCCGAACAACACGTTAAATCAATTAAATTAAATTAACGCTCCTGTGATATTTTAGGTTCGAAGATTGTTTTTTAATCTGTATCGAATGAATTGTTGCAAATCAAAGAATTAGTTATCACTCACTGAATTATTAGTGGCTTGGAATTATTTCTATTACAGTTAGCATGTATTAATCAAAACTTAACCTTGTTGCTCACTTAAAACACTAACCCTAACACAACTATTACTAACATCGAGTCCTGATATTCGAGGTAGTTATTGTGTATTTCGGTTCTCTTCAAAACATCATTGGACTTTTCTATAATTTATATTCATTGTTTGAAGTTGTAGGTCTTTTTCTATCTGCTGATTTTGCCACTTCATTCTTTATCTTTAGCCATGTTGATATTCTTTTATTATTAGTTGTTGCTTGGTTAATCGTTGTTGGAATGCGTCGCGCAAAAGTGTTAATATTTTTTTATATTTACTGTTGCTTTTAAATGGTTAATTATTCTAGTGTAATCATTATAATAAGCGATATTATTTAAGCTAAGTAATACTGCGTCAATTTTCAGCATCTCTTAGCTACACATGGGCTTCGCAACCGCTTGCTTTTCAAATAGTCCGAGTGCAACTTACATAGCCCTACAAAAAAAAATTGTCAGTCCCAGAAACGTGGCCAAGGTACTCAAAAATTTATAAAAAAATTATAAAAATATTTATAAAAAAATATACTAAAAGTATAGTATCTTGGGTTTTTTCGATGGCCAATTCCAAATTAAGCGTCAGTATTATCCCGTGAGGTTATATTTAAGATCAATTCAATGTCAGTCCGAGATCATGGATATAAAACTATATCATAGTTCACTACATTTAAATCTGTTTGATGTACGTGTAATGCAATAAAATACCAATAAAAATTTAAACGTATTACTTTTTTTTATTATAACGACCTATTTTATTGTCAAATGATCTACGAAGTGGATTACGTTTTCGCTTTTTTGATGTTGATGGTAGATCTCGTTTTAACGATCAACAGTAATCCGGTAACATATTTATATCCCATCTTTCTTGGTACCTGCGCTCCATTTCCTTGATATATTGGTGGAATCTCTTCTTATTCTTCGCAGTTATCACCTAGATTTTCTGAAAACTCATCTATATAGGAGTATAAAAAGTATAATTTTAGATTGATTAAGCACCCTTGATTTTTACAACTATTTGCCAAATTTAATACTATTTGTTTGTAATTTGGGCTCTTATAATTTCCAAGAAAATTTTCAATACCGTCCTTGAAACATTATCATGCTTCTTTCTCTGTATGATTCATTTTTGTAACAACAATTTCATTATTTATTATCTTACAAGTTTAAGGGTTATCAAAGATTCCTTCATTTATTTTAACATCATTTAATTTTGAAAACAGATTTCGCATATACTTAAAGCAACTACCATCTTTGTCCACATGCAAAGTATACTATCCGAATACATGTTGCCTAATTTTCAAAACTACCAGATAGATGAAAATCACTAATCTTTCTCTCTGCGTTCCTCTAATTTAATTCTTATAAAAACTGTAGTTTATCTAATTATAGAAATTATATGTTATGTGTGAATGAATACTTAGTATTAAAAATATACTCACGAACTTTCGAAGTGACTGGCATATAATGATGGCCACAATAATAAATTTTTTTTTGTTTAGGGTCATACAGTTTGAAGAAAAGCAATACATCTGTATCTTTATCAAATGGAGGTAACGTTGTCAAACCAGAATCAGGTGCTGCTAATTCAACAAATACATTCCATGGATTTCCGCTTTCAGCACAGTCAGTTATTGGCTTTTGAAGATCCGTTTCAGATTCAATCAACGTAGGTCTACATGTTTGATTTGATCTTAAGCTAAATGGCCACACCCGAATTTGCTCGATTGAATATTTCTGTGAAAATATAAATAATAAATATTCAAAATAAATTTATTCTTTACATTTTGCAGTGAACTAATATTAGTTGAAATATAACAAATCATATATTGAAATTTCATCGTAATTAATAACGTTACATTCAGAAACATACGTAGATCCAAATGTGAATAAGAATTGAAGTTATACAAAATAAAACACATATAATGTATAATCTGTAATCTTTTTAGAATATCACGGAAACCTAATATTGGTATATTATTTTAAGAAAATAAAAATATTAGTATTTTCAAGAAAATAATGACAAAAGAGTAAAATACCTATTCCGTCTCTAGTTTATATATGTTGCTTTCATTAACTACTACATTTGTAAAAAATAATACAAGTACAGCAGGATGTTACGTGCAAATTTTTTGAGATATTACTTACATATTCATGAGAATGTTATAAATAAGATGAGCTGTTAATTAAAGATGTAAGACTTGTATTATTTTATGATCTTCAATAATGTCAAAAAGAATTTTTTTTTCATAAAATAGATAATAATAATTTTCTAAAGAAAAGGTAAGCAGTCATCCAACCGTCGACAGAATCTATACTTTTAGCGCTATTACAGCATTAGATAATCGGTTTTTTGTTATGGCATGCACACACATGCGTTGTTGTCTGCTGGAAAAAAAGAAGGTGGTTAAATGTAGGGACCAAGACGAGTTTCGTGGCTGATAAAGGGCACTGAATACACCAAAATGCTTTTTGTATATTTTTAGCTGTTGAATAGGAATTTCGATGGCGAATTGCTAAAAAATCAGTAGTTAATTAGATATTAATAATTTAATTGTTTAAATCGTCATAACTTGTCGCAACAGTTATATCGGTTTTGCACCCCTTCATTTCTGCTCTCGCATTACGCATTTTATTTGTACTAAAATCGGAATATCTCGACTTTTCATAAATATTATTTAATTTGTTTCATCATTCTGGAATTTTTAGATATCCTAACCAAAAGTGCAGAAAATACTGTTTTTTACAGTTTTTGGACGTTTCTTATATCGTGAATTTTCATTCTATAGCAAATTTCAAAACTGCATTGGAAAAAAAAATCTTCTATTTCAAAATGCATTACTTCATTTATTGATACCGATTATTTCAAACAGAGATATCGTTCATTAAAAACTCGAAAATTTAAGTTTCATGTATAGACGTGGTATATGTGTTACGTCCAGACAAAAAATGTTTTTTTCTCTTCTTGCTTTTAAAGAGATACTTTTCGTTTCTAAGCATTTAAAAGCAATTACAGACAAATTTGAACATATTCTAGTTTGTGTTACCGTTTAACTCTATTGCTTAGTATGCCATCGTAGTTAAATGACTATTCGCTCACTCATCAATAAGGTTTTTTCATGCTAGTTTCATACAATCACCTCTGTTTTTTCCAATCAAACTTATACCTCAACATATTCATTCATAGAATCGGGCACCCTTCCCCTTAACCTGTTAACCGAGTGGGACGTATATTTATATATTCATGAATTTTAAGATTAACTACTGCCGGAATTCAATTCGTGTGAATCTAAGCTACAAAAATAGTTAGAATCATTACAATATATTAACCTGTTAACCGGGGAAATCCCTTTCTAATTACGCAACATATAACGGGCGCGTCCTTTTCCACTAACAAGGAAGGTACCCGAGGTGTACCTCACCGATTTTCTTGAAATTGTGATATGTTGTAGAACATCAAAAAATATTCGACGCGTATTTTTTTATACGTGCCCATAAGCCCATTTAAGGGGTGAAACCCACCCTTGAAGTTCACCCCTAAAAACAAATTTTTTTAATTTCTCGAATACAATTCGTAATTTTTTACTGAAACAAAGTGGGTAACACTTGTTATTGAAAAGCACATATTTATGCATTGTTTTTAGTCATCAGACTCGTAACCCCCGTTTTTTATTAATGAAAAACTATATTTGATGACCATTTTTTTCACTATGCACATTCCAAAATCTGTTAAATCTTGACAAAATTAATTGTTTTATGCACAATAATCAAAAATAAAGTTGACCTGTTCCGGCATTTTCAAAAAAAAAATCCCTTGAGGGGGTGAGCTACCCCTAACATTTATACTATTATATTTCATTATTCCATTACGATATCATGGTGTAAATCTCTTGGATACTATTAAAATTGTTAAGTCGTTGATGTAGTTTGAAATTTTCTGAAATCAGCCCTTACAAATGAATTCATCCCTAAAACTCAATCTCAAGTATTATTTTTTCATTACTTGAAAATACCCTAGGACTATTCAGTGGCGTAAAACGTGTAATAATATTAGTTCACATCCTTGGTATTGAATTAGAATTCTTCACCCCACTAATGTATCAACCCCTATTTTTCAATAAAAAAATGACACCCTTTTCCATATGAAAATACTAGTTTCTTGAGTTTGACGAAAAAAATTTTGGCAGTATGCACAATATTCAAATACGAAATCGACTGTTCTCACCTTAATAAAAATAACCTATAATAAGGGGTGTACCAGCCCCACAGGAGATATTGTCGTATCTCTATGATTTTATTCTTTTTCTATGGGACTTTCAAAAGTAATAAAAAATTAATGATTCAAAGTACAAAAAAATTTTAAATTTAATATTTCAATAGTTTCGAGTTTTAATGTTACTTTTTATAATCCTGGCAATAATGATAATCATTAAAAAAATGTTTCAAGCATAATGATTACTTACATCAAGAGCATCTTACAATTGCTGAGTTAGAGCAACCAGGAACTTCATAACGCTCATTACAATCATTACCAAAACTAAAATCTACGGGGTTATCAAATTTATCTGGCTTTGATTCAACGTAGCCACTTTTATACCATGAATATTTAAATAGGTTATTGTATCGAGGAGATGACAATTGATTATGTACCAAGGATTGGAGTTTTATAATGTTATTTCTTTTATGAAGTTCTATATCCTCATTCATTAATGTTACACTGTCCTCGAAGCGACGGACGTAATTTTTCCACACTCGGAAGCCGAAAGCATCTAGTGGCTGAATTTTGCCTGTTGTTCCTTTTGGAATTATTTTTACATCAACAATTTTGTTTGGAGGTGCTGCTTCCTTTACAGCATCAGGGCAATGCCCACTCCACGAATCAATTAATAAGACACTTGAATGCCCAACATTGGGAAAATACACATCCTTCAGCCATGTTTTGAAATGTTCTGTAACCATTGAAAAAACTCATTTTTATTCACATGACATAAGTTAAAAACTGTAATCATCAATAATAAATATCATACCTGAAGTCAGTTTGCCAGAAGCGGAAGGCATCACGTAAATATTTGATGGCTTGAATAATTTGGATTCTACTACCGGTCCAAAGGTTCCTTTACTTTCTTTTAAAACAATGAATAATGGGGAAAGCAGTCTCCCATCACCTGAAATAAGTGGTTGAATTGTGTAACTGTGAGTCGTCGAACTTACAGATTCTACAAGACATTCAATTTGCTTTTCGCCTTCAATAGCTAGTGTTCTTCCCGAGTGCATTTCAATTTGAAATCCACTCTGATCTGAATTGTAAATTGATTCCAAACCTTTGCTTTTAATTATTTTTTTCACATCTGAAACAAAATCATCAGCTGTTTTTTGTAAATATTCTCTCCCTTTAACAGTCTTTTTTGTTACGAATTTATTTATCTTTCTGCTGACTATTCTGTGAGCCTTTTTAAAATTTTGTAGCCAATGACGTGACACTTTAAACCTTATATCTTCATGTCCAACGATTTTCTGAGCTTGTAATGCCCATTTTTGTAAATCTCTATCGTGAATTATATAACCGGCATCGGAAGCCGACTAAAAATTATCTAATACAAATTTATTGATTCTTCCAATTTTTTCTTTATAAGTGCCTCCTTTATTCAAAGTATGCGCCCATCGTTTCAACTGTGTAATTGATTGGACTTTTCGAAATCTATGCTGCACAGTTTGCAGAGCGAGATTTTTCGTAACTCCGCTTCTCCAATAGTCCACAGCTTTTCGTTTGTAATCCCAAGATAGATCTTCTGTATCCGCTGTACATACTAGTGAGTGTTCATCAACATCCGCTGACCAGATTTTATCAATATCTTCAACAATATGCATTTCAGTATCCTTAAATGGTTCTTGAAAAGCTAATGTAGATTCCACAATGAATTCTGGATCCTCAAAGTTATTTATACAATCAAGTAATAGTTTTTCTATATTATCCTTCAAAGCAATTTCATCTTTAGTAATGGGACTTTCTTGTATATTCATAGCTTGAAAAGATAATAATAATAATTGTATAACATTTATAGGATTAATAGTCATTTTTCCAATACCTAGAAATAATAATTATTATTTGTTTTTTATATGATGAAATCCGAAGCGCATTAATTTGAATATTTTTTTACAAAGTCAGGCAATAATTTTTAATATCATTTAAATCAACATTACACTGACAATTACGTATCAATTTCATTTCTAATTTCTTCGAACGATAATTGAATATTGAAAATTCCAAAATTTCTTGTTCATCTTTGATCCCTCACCAATTCTGGAAAAAGACCACATAAAAATATGAAGTATTGCATTTTATAACTCTTTATAAGCTATATCTAAATCAATAATTAAAAAATTATTTTCGTCAAATACGATGTGAGTATGAAAATTTTTGAGCTTTTTTCTTCGGAAAAATATTTAATTCAAAAATGTAGAGTAAAAAAAATGATGAAAATAATTTTTTATGGTTTCTTTAGATAGGGCTTGTAAAGAGCTGTAAAATAGAGTACTTTCAATTTCTGTGCGTTTTTTGAAAAATGGCGAGGGCATGTATACAATATCTATCAATTACCGCGTTAAGAAATTTTACGCAAAAGGAAATTTTACTTACAATCAGGAAATAAGTATTGACCAAAAATTATATGGTAGAATTAATATGTACGAATTCCAAAATACTATGTTATACTTTGATGAAATTTGAAGTTTGAAAT